GATTTGCTGGATCCGATCTATGCAATTGTACTCTTTCCAACGTTGATTCCTGCTCGTTTGCTAGTTGTTGCCTGTTTTGCTGGCGGGTCACTCTTCTTTGAGAAGAATCTAAAATTTTCTCATGACGTCTTCTTATTGGATCTTCTCGACGACTTCTTCTCAATGCTACATATCGTCACCTCTCTTCTTCTCTTATTATTACATTCTGGCGCCGTACAGAAAGTTCCATTGTGTCGAGCTCGTGCTCCGCTGCTCTATATTCAGCATTCATTCGTCTGTTCGAATGACCTATTTTGTTGCGCTCCTGCTCTGCTGCTCTATATTCAGAATTGGTTCTCCTATTTAAATGTTCCGCGGTGTTGCGTTCCTGCTCTTTAGTTCTATATTCTGATCCAAGCGCCTGATCGAATGTTCTATTGTGTCGCGCTCCTGCTCCGCTGTTCTATATTTTGGATTCTGTCTGTTTGAATGATCAACTGTATTACGCTGCTGCTCTGTGAAGTAGGTTCTGTCGTCTAGTGGAACGTGCAGAACTGTCACGAGTTCTCTTCTCATTGCAATATAGTCGGCGTTTCTCTGTCTATTATTCTCCAAATTTTGACTGTATTGTTGTCGGCTTCGATTCAGAGCATTGCGACGTCTCTGTTCCTGCGATTGTCTAGATAATCTTGGCATTTTTATAAATTAATCAAATATTTATATTAAAAATATACTTAAAAAAACAGCGAAAAAATTATATTTGAATTAAAATAATGCTTATTATGAAAAAATAATAATATAATTAAAAAAATGCTTATTATTTCAAAAAGAAATCGCGCCTGGAAAAGTCAAAAGTGAAGACAATGCTGATTTGTTTTTATGATTCCAAGGGTATTGTCCACAAAGAATTTGTTCAACCCGGCCAAAACGTTAATGCGGTATTCTAACTTGGAGTTTTGAAGCGTTTGGTGCGCCGTATTCGACGTGTTCGGCCCGAATATCGCGAAGATGGAAGTTGGCGTTTTTTGCACGATAATGCGCCGCCTCATCAATCGACGCTTGTGGTCGTTTATTAGACCAAAAATCACATTTTAACAATCAACCACTCCCCGTATTCACCTGATATGGAACCGTGCGACTTCTACCTTTTCGGAAAAATGCATTTTCCGATGAAAGGAAAGCGTTATACAGACGTGGAGGCCATTTAAAAGGCTTGCACCGGCATACTGTCGGCCGTACCGGGCAACGAGCTAAAACACTCGTTCGACATGCTTCTGGACCGTGCAAAAAGCTGTATTAAAGCAGAAGAAGACTATTTTGAATAAAATTAATTAATTTTGCCGATAAAACCATTTGTTCTGTCTTTTTTTTTTAAAGTCCTGTTTACTTTGGACCACACCTTGTATGTGTCTATTCTAAACACAATTTTCAACTTACTGTCCCAATTAGCTACACGTCATACCTTACTTATGGCACAAGCAAAACAGTTTTTGGCAGATATAAGATAATTTTTATTGAAAGCTCAAATTGGACAGTATAAATAATTAATTAATCTGATTTTTTTATAATATATTATTTCTAAAGTGGTTAAATCTGATCACATTGTAAATATATTGGAGAAGATAGATTAGTTCTGTTACTCACTATTTACCATATAGGAAAAATTTAATTTTATTTTAAAAATTTATTTTGAAGAAAATGGGTTCTCTATTTAATGAAAAAAGTAAGTCATGCCAAACTTTGTGCATATATTTTGTCATATAAAAAAGTCATATCTTAAGCAATAATCCATACTAAAAACTTCCATACAAAAGTTTATTTTGATCGGTCGGTTTCTATGCTAGCTGCATAATATATTTGGTTTGGTTTGGAACTTAATTTAGATTGTCAGTTTGCATGGCAGCTATATGCCATTGAGAGAAATCAATGCCGGATTTCGTGAAGATATCTTATCTAAAGAATAATTTGTCCATGCAAGTACTTGATTCCGATCGTTCAGTTTGTATTGCAGATATATGCTATAGTGATCCGCTCTGAACAATTTCTTCGGAGATTGCATTTCTTCTTCTAGCAATAACTCATGCCGAATTTCGTGATTATATCTCGTCAAATAAGAAAGTTTATATGATAGCTATTTGCTATAGTGACCCGATATCGGCGGTTCCGACGAATGAGCAGCTTCTTGGGGAGAAAAAGAAGTGTTCAAAATTTCAGATCGATATCTCAAAAACTGAGGGACTAGTTCGCGTATATACAGACGGACAGACGGACGGACAAATAGACAAACAGACATGGCTAAATGAACTCAGCTCATCGCGGTGATCATTTATATCTATACTTTATATGGTCTTCGACGTTTCCTTCTGGGTGTTACAAACTTCGTGGCAAAATTAATATACCCTGTTCAGGGTATAAAAGTTGGAGCTAGTAGTGATATGTCTTAATGAGACAACAAAGATCAAATTTTCAACCAACCTGTATATATGTACATAAACCGCGTCAAGGAATTTATCTTTATTATAGGTATTAAGGTTTGCCATTATGTTTTAAAAATGATTACAGGTAAGTGAACCTCGCAGCTGGTTCGAATAAATTCCAGCCGAGAGGCACAATTTTCGACGACTTTCTGCAGGAATCGGGGTCATATGTCAGCGATAACGCGTCAAGTGTTAAATCTTGGGGGCCACGCCACAGACCCTGTCAATGTCAAAGTGTACACCTTTTTCTTATACATTTCATTCTTTATATCCATCTAAAAAAAATGTTAAATCTAATATCATTTATAAGTTATTAGATATTGTTCTTATAAAATATTGACAGTAATCCAAAACAAGTAAGGAAAGGCTTGCAACTGGCAAAGATCAAAGAAGGGGAAATAACGAAAATCATGTATGTAGTTTGTGTAATTTTTGGATCAATTTCACATATTTTCGGCTTTAAAAATGGTGTAGTATATCTAATATTATATGTACAGTTAATTTTGCTAAGATATCTTACTCATGCATCAATATATGGTATACAGTATAAACTACATACAAGTATTATTTACAGAAAAGGAGCTCCTCTGTGTTTCATTAAGGTACCTTATACCATCACTAATATACTCGTATAAAGAGTGAAGTCAACCAGACGTTTGAAAATCCTAGTTTTTAGTTATGTATATGGGGGCTAAGCCAAGTCTTCTCTCGATTTAATCCATTTTAAAATCACAGATGCATCGTTATTAGAAAACACGCCCGCTCAATTTAATTAAATTAACTCACATACCATACAAGTAGGTATGTGCCGATATATGGGATAAAAAGTCAGCCGGAAGTTCGAAAATCTTTATATTAGATATATGGGCTCTAATTTGATTTAGGCTATTTTTGACATACAGAAATGATATTATTAGGAAATGTTTCTCTCCAAATTCGAATTATATATCTCATACATTGAATTATATTTCGGGGGCATGGAGGCAAGCTTTTGCCGATTTTTTCCATTTTAGGCACAAAGATACACTGTTATTTCAAAAATACGTTTTTTCAATATAAATTATATATCTCACAGATTGACCAATATTTTCGACAAAAAAGTCAGACATAGGCTCTGCGGGTCCACATTTCCGATATCTGCGGGCTTGAATAGTTATGGTCCGATTTTGAGAATTTTTATACCCGAAATGGCGTACCTTAAAAGAAATATTCGTGCACATTTGTATCCCGATATATTAATTAGTGCTTGATTTGTATACCAGAAAGTTAAAAAAAGCAGATGTTGTAAATAGATGAAAATGTTTAACCTACAAGTGCCCCTCAAGTGCAGTTCGTTTTACCAAATTACGGTTTTGTACCTTAATTTGTGGTTTAGTTATGGCAATATGTAAGTTTTTCGATTACACCCATCCACAAACTCGTCATTTCTTTTTGCCAAGGAGCACTTGTACAAAATTTCATTAAGATATCTCAGTTTTTTCTCAAGTTAGTGCTTTCACAGACGGACGGACAGACAGTCACCCAGATTTCAACTCATCTCGTCATCCTGATCATTTATATTATATATGCATACAAGTATATAACTCCAGATCCGTCTCGATTCGTTTTAGATGATATAAACAACCGTTAGGTAAACAAAACTATTATACTCTCCATTGAAACATATAGCGAGAATAAAATTAAACCAATTTTAAGTAACATTTAAAAAATGCAAATATGAATATACATACATAATTCATGCTCTGGTTCCCTCATCAAAAACCCATAGTTGAGAATGTTAATGGCAAAACTAACTAACTAACTTTTATATATTTTTTTCTGCTAAAAACCAAAACAATGTTACATTTTTCTTAGGTGACTTCCATCGTTGTGAGCTGAATTTCCGTTTGCAATTTTTTAGACTACGTATACAAACCTAACTCTCTAGTTAGGTTTAGGTGCTGCAAACAACCTTAAGATGAACCCAACTTTTATACTCTGTCTAAAATTGCGAAAGTATCAAATTACAACAGCACAAATAATATTTTACACTTTATAAATAGTAACTGTAAATTATGAGCAAACGTTATATATTGCACTTTTCCACCCTTGGTGTCAACCATACCAATTAATAATAATCCATTGTGGCTTGGAGTGTTACTTGACAAAACAACAACAATAATTATCTTATATACACTCCAGAAGTCTTAGACATTTTCGAATACTGTACTGCATTAACTCTGTAGAATTAAACTTAATATAGCAAGAATTTGAACAAAGTGTGCTTTAAGTCGGTTAAGTGTTATAAGCCATAAGTTATCTAAGTTAAACACTTGGGCAACCCTTCCTTAAAAAACAAACTGTTCTGTTATTATCATTTCTATTCAATTCTTTTTACTCTTAACGTAACATAGTAAACTTATTATGTGGACGATGAACACATAACTTTAGTCAATGCAGCATTGTTAGACGAGACCAGTCATCCAAGCAACCCTTTAATTTTTTATACACATAATAGATACAAGTTAGCTTTCTTACAATCGAAATTTGCAGACTTTCACTTACCTCTTCACAGAGCGCAAGCATTCGGCGAGTGCTTTCAAGTGACTGAAATAGGAAATGAAAACGACAGAATTAAATTTTATGAAAAATATTTGTTGTTATTAAAATACAGATATATTTATAATTTACGTCCCCAACGAAAAAGGTCACGAAATTGATAATATTTTAATCGTCTTATTTTGATGTGAACATAAAAATTCCGTGAGCGAAAAGTCAATTGTTTCAAAAATATATATATGTATAGGGATTTATAGCGCGTTTTTAAACAAAACAAAATATTTTAAAAATTACTTCGCACACGCATACTGTGCTGGCGGCCTTTGGACGGGCTTCAAAAATAATCCTGGTCGGTACAACCCCGGGGCGTCTAAAGTTCTTTTGCGTACAGTAAGGAGTTCGACGCGAAAGAATCATGAACACGCCGCTTTTGGACCGATCAGGGTTATTTTTTTGAAAGCGGCCGAAGGGAATTGGAAAACATGTGCAAATTCTGTTTATTTTTTGTGCAAATTAATTTTTTGAAAAATTCAAACTAAATAAAATTTTTACTTTCCGCTCACGGAATTCTCATCTTTGCGGCAAAATAAGACGATCTATTGTAAAAAAAATTATAAGTTTCGCGGCCTCCTTCGTTGGGAGACCTAAAACGGTTACCTAAATATATATAGTTTTGATGATTGAAATTCCGTAAAATTTGAGTATATGCATTTAAACTACGGCCAAAAGAGAGTACGTTAAGGCTTTTTCGACTTTTACAAAAATTTAAAACACTTGTTTACTTGTAACAAATATTTAATTAGTCATGTTCATACTTTAAACAATATAAACAAATTATTGTGAATCGGTTACAATAAACCAGAAGAACTGAAATCAGTTCCCTGGCGGTATGGAGGTTTAGGAAATGTATGGTCTGAATTCCCTAATGTTCATTACTCAGAGAAATGAATGAAACAGGGGGAGATCATGGACAGTTCCTTCCGGGATCGGAATTCTCAGGGGCGCTCGGTGGTCTGCAATTTTTTGGAAATTTTTTTCTCCAACAATTCTCTACAATTGTTGCCAATATGAATTACAACAATAATTGCATGTATCGATTTAAATGAAAAAGTCACAGATTTAACTAAATATACAAGCCAAATTCTTTCATAATTCGTTTTGCAGTCGTTTTACTAGTTTAATGTGATATTGATATCTGTAAATCACCTGTGGTGAGTATATCATATATGGTTTGAACCTTTAGAGCGAACACCTACTAACGAAGTTGATTGAAAAATCTTTAAAGTCTTCTTGCTGATTTGCAGCTTTAACGGAATCAGTGGAGTGTGAATTTGAATGAATGTCGAACAGTTGGTTAAGTTTTGACATACGCGATAAAGTGGCCGATAATTTGGAAAAAAATTGTACTACTAAAAATATTGATTTTAAAAGGAACACTTTCTTTGTTATCATGGACTCGATCATTGCGGGAATCACGAACAGGTTCTTTGAATTTAGAGACATCAGTGGCTGTTTCCTAAAATGGAACTAGAAGACGTTCAGGCTGCTGCGTACAGGTTCGATGAAAAATATCCGCTGATGTGTCTAACGAAATATCATTTGATTTGGTGAGAATACCTGCATAGCTTTAAGCATTTTTTAACAGTCTGAGTTGCTAGCGCCGAGGGATCATTAAGCGTTTTGTCAGGAACAAAGAAGTATCACGTTGTTGTTCAAGCTGAACTCGATTGTCAGGACTAACTTACATACGTTTTTTCAAAAAAAAAAAAAAAAAAATTTTAATTTTAAAGGAAATTATTATTTTTTATTAATAATTTACGCGTACAACATTGAACAAACCTTATTCGAAGGAAGGACAATTGCACGAAAGGTCATTATCAGCTGAAAGTAATAGTTACACCTCTTCTTCCAATTTAATATTTCTTTTTGCTAATTTTGATGCTGCTGTGGATTTCGAAGTGATTAGTGGGTCTGGACAGATTAAGGTATGCAGAACAACGGATATGTGCTAACGAATATGTCTGCAGTTTCCCATGTGTAATTGCGAAAAGCTTCCGTATTCAATACATATTCACAAGCTATAGTGCGCATAATTACGCTAAACCTTCGTATCAAATTGACGTCTACGTCAGCTGTTTCGGGCCATTGTGGGGTTATGTTATAGGTACTTCAGTATCACATTAATTTTTTAAAAATGTTGTATAGACTTACGCTGGCGGCCACCATTAACTCATACACGGACTTACAACATTTCGTACTTGAGGGTCCGTCTTACAGTCTTCAAATGATTTAACTGGATGTCCAGATGACATATTTACTTTTGGGTCAGATAATAAAAATTTCCTTCCAATCACTGCCCGTTTCGCTCTTCAATTACTGCTAATATTCCGTGGCACAAAATTTCGCAATTGCTCTTTTATTTGATTGATTTTATCGGTTCGATATTTACCTTCACAAACAAATAAATTCAAAACATAGTTTTTAATTGCAGAAAACTTCTTTATTGCATTGCAAATTAAAAACAGGGTGCATTTGAAGCTTGAAATGTTTAATAAAAGGAGCAAATCTTAAAATCTTGGAAAAACTAGAAGCTAATTTTACACATTTAACATTCACAATAGATAATACAAGTATTAACAAAACAAATAATCACTAGACCGAATCCGCCCGAATGAACATAACATTTACGCCATGGAAGATCCGCGAACACAAAAAATTGCTTATTATCTGGAGGATTGTCTTCAAGCACGAATAAACACGAACACAAATACGAGTATGTACATTGCACAGAAACAATTTCTTAAGGAAATACATACCTGCTTCTTTCAATTAAAACACTAATATCACGAAAAGTTTAATAAAATTACTTGTATATATAATATTTTCCAAACATACACTTGTTACCGAAAAAAGGATAATTTATGTATACACTTGTCGAGCCATTTGTCAACTTTGACAGTTTACAGCCGTGCGAATATTAAGAAAAGAACAAGTAAGGAATGGCTAAGTTCGGGTGTAACCACTAAACTCTTCCATACAATTATTGTAGTTTCATTCATTTAGTGTAAAGTTAATAATCATGAGTAATTTCAAGAAAAATTATCGGGTGCTGAATTTCAAAGGTTAAAAATGGTAAAAGATAATTTTATAAAAACACAGGCACTCTTTAAACAAAGACTCGAATACACTACAGAGGCATTGGACAAAGAAATTAGGTAACAAGTTGAAATAAGTCATGACATAGGAGAAACATCGTAAGTAAATATTAAAATAGAAAGTCACAACAGGTAGAACTAAATATTTAAAAAGTTTTTCTAACTAATAGTAAACAACAAGAAACTCCATACGAAAACAGTGTTATTGACATAGATGAAATAAATAATTTAACTCCCGCCGGAAGTTGCCAAGTAGAGAATTATTATTATATATTTCAAAGGATCCAGTGAAATCCAATCAACAAAAGATGCCATGTTCCGTTTCTGTTGCAAGTTTTTTTTAACAGTTATAAAATCAAATCTCATAATGGCGGAACAAATGACTATCAAAGGTGGAAACAGTTTGAATTCTTCTATCTGACAACTAATCATATAATTGGTGAAAAGTAATCATATAAATATCGCTTAATAAGAACACTAGAACATTACTGGCAGCAAGTTCTCGAAATATTATTGGCATTAGTACTAGGAAGTTAAAACATACCTCTTCGTGGAACTAGTGACACAATATTTTGGAACGTCATTGCAGGAATACGTTCGAAAAGTAAATGACAAAGAAACTCAGGTCCATTACTTGGGCAAACCAACTTAAAACGTGCAAACTTCGCTAAATATTATTTCATATTACATTGTACACCTGACGTAAGTCATCTTAAACAGAAGACCACTATTGTTCGATTTGTTGACATTATTAACAAAGGTAAGCGCAATTGTGTTCAAAAAATTATTCTAGATATAAATCCCTGCAGTTCACTCACACTATTCAAGCAACATCATGTTTTTAATTCAAAATGTATGTATACTTATATGTGTTTTTTACCAGGAGGAAGCATCGAAAGCCTGAACCCCACGTCAGTGTGGAACTTTAATCTAACTAAACCTCCTACCGTCATGTACCTTTCCCCCCGGTACCACCGTCAAGTATTCCGTCGGGAGGATGGTTGAGTTGAGTGCTCATACGTTTGTAGTGTTCAATGCATTCAATAACAAATTGCATTTACTTGGCCCCACCTCTGTTGGTATATCTCTACAGCAACAAAAAGAGAGGAAAGAACCAAGAGCATTATGCTGTGGCAGCAACGGTGGCAAACCTCACCCAAAGGACGGTGGACTCACAGACTGATACCAGACATCAGACCGTGGATAGATAGACAGCATGGGGACCTGGATTTCCACCTGACCCAAATGCTAAGTGGACATGGGTGCTTTAGAAGCTACCTTTACAAATTTCGTCATGACTACAGTCCGTACTGTCCGACGTGTACAGAATGTATTGAAGACTCTGAACATGTTTTTTACCATTGCCCTCGGTTCTCCAGTATAAGAGAAAATCTGAAAACCACACTTGGCGGTAGTTTCTATGTGGAAAATTTGACAGCACTTATGTGTGAGTCCTCTATTAAATGGAAAGCAGTCAGCGAAGCGTCAGCTGTGATAATGACAAGATTGAGACACTTACAACAGATTAGGAGTCAGTTAGTCCGTACCGTAGAGGAGACTTAAATGTCTTCTTCTCCCCCATGAAGTAATACTTTGTCCAGTGGTTCCGTGGGAGAGATTTGGGTTGGGAGTAGGTTAGGTTTAGCGGATTAAAGTTCCGCACTTCGGCTTTCGATGCTTCCCCCTACTATAAAAAAAAAAAAAAAGAAAAAAAAAAAACCTCTGTTGGTATTAAACCCGCCCCGTGCAATGTTTGTCGCCAAACCCTTCCTTTATGCTTGTTTTATTTTTGTTTTAATGTGTTTGTTTGGTCCGCGTTCTAGTGGTCCGTTAAGTTTTGGAGTTATCTTCTCGGGCTCTTTGGGTTTTCATGATTTTGGCGGCTATTTCGCA